CTATCCCAGTTTGCCAAAGCAAGAACAGAACAGGATAGGAGAGCTAAAATGTATTTAAAACTTCACTTGCAATTTACAAAAAGAATGTGTTCTAATTAACTGTTCAAGTAGAAATGTATGGCTTAAACCTGGGAGATGCTCACATCTCCCTTGCAGAGAAGGGCATAGACCCCCACTCTCCTGTGTGCCAGCAGCCACTGGGAGAAAAGAAAATCAGAACAAATCCCAGGGTGCAGAGAAGGTATATGGACCTTCCCAAGGGAAAAGCAAACAAGACATCTGGTGGCACCTATTCACATGCATTTAAATCCTTCTGAAGTGGTGTGTTCCTGGTCATAGTCCCAGTAGCTACATGGCCAAGGCATCAAAAAGTCCTTCAGCACCCATGGGAAGATATGCCTCACCCACAGCCAAGGGGAAGAGGCTGTCCTTGTAGGGTCTATGGCAAGGAAAGAGTTGGGAAAAGGAAAATCTAAGCTGCCCTCGCAGGCATTATAGAGAAGTATGGAACCTGGTGCCCCAGCCAGCAGCAGTTGACCATCATGGTGGGGCTAGTGTGGTCTTGGGGATGGAAGAGACCCGTGGGGAGGGAGGGAAGGAAGGAAGGAGGGAGGGAGGGTGTGAACAGGAGAGTTTGACAGGATAAACATGGGCTGCTGAGAACGGGGAGGACTGGAGGATGCTCAGATGTTTGCAGCACATGTAGAACACAGCAGTGGAAAGAGAGGGCAGGAGGGATTACAGGATGAGTGCTCTGTGGGATGCCAATGGTCTCAGAGGTAAATGGTGGCTCCCATGTGGTTGACGCATCTCATCATAGTGCACAGCTTCTTCATGGCTGCAGCTCCTTCTGTGCTCCCCTACACCCCTGTTAGGCTTGTGATCGTGAAGAAAACTGTAGGAGAGGAAGCTCGGTGCTCATCTCTGGCAGGGTCATGGAGGCAAATGGCTCATCCTCACCAGGCCAATCTGACATCCCCCTGCTGGCCCCCTTGGCAGGCTGGTGTTTGCACTGTGGGAAGGGGCAGCAGGGAAGGGTCTGTTCCCCAGTCTTCACCAAGACGGCAGGTCCGTGTCCCCTCCCCAACCGTGTCAGGCCATGACGGCAGGCATGTCGCTGAGCTCTGGAACAGAAAACACACAGTGAGCTACCAAAACACCTGCAGATGTTCTTCCAGCTGTGGTGAGCAAACAGAGCCTGGCTGAAAATGCATGCAGCCCAGGCTGGGTGGTTTTGTCTGCTTGATAGTCCCATGAATGCAGAAACTTGGGGCAGGGGAGGGTCCCCAGACAATCCCACCCTGCCTTGCAGACCCAAGGGTGCTCAGTGCCTCTGAGCTCTTTTCACAGCATCAGAGTAATGCATATGGGAGGGGATGCCTGGATGTCTCTGCTTGAAGCAGGGACAATTAGATAGGGCTGCTCAGAGCTTTGAACACCTCTGAGGCTGGATATTCCCCACCCATCTGGGCTCCTTGACCAGCATCTGATCACCCTCATGGGGAAGATATCTCTTTTTCTCTTGATATCTAGTAAAAATTCCCAAGGTTGTAGTTTGTGCTGTTGTCACTGCACGTCCAAGAAGCATCTGGCTCCATCTTCTTTACACCCTCCCATTAGAAGGTTGAAGTCAGGGATAGGATGTCCCTTGACCTTCTCTCCCACTGTGCAAACTCAGATCTCAAATGCCCCATCCTCCAGCTTAGTGGACCCGCTGAGCTCGCTCCCATTTATCACAATCTGCTTGGTACTGGGGAGCCTGAACTGGACCCAGTGACTTGATGTGGCCTCACCAGTGCTGAACAGAGGGCAGAAATCACTGCGGCCTGACACTGATACAGCCCAGGATGCAGTCATCCTTCACCACAGCATGAGCACCCATCACCAGCCCATCCATTAGGACCCCGGTGCCCCCACAGAGACGTCACAGAACAGGATGTAACTCCCAGCTTTCCATGCCCTGCTCACCTGTCCTGAACTTGTTGTAGGTGCCACTCTCCAGCATCGAGCCACCGTCATGGGCACAGCAGGAGAAACTCCGCTCTCGCCACCTGCATGGGGCAAAGCACCTGGGTCAGGCCAATGCTTGCTGTGGCTCCCCTTGCAGCTCCTGAATGCCCCAGACACCTCCCGTCTACTTTTTCAGGGCAGGAACTGCCCTGGTATTTTGGGATTTGCTCAGGTCCATACCGAGAAAGGACTCCAGTGCATGACTGACGTTTAAGCATCCACACTTCACGTCTGCAACAGCATTTTGAAGACAACTTTGTGACTAAGCTTTGTCCTCTAAGAAATATTTGAGAGCTGAAAAGCCCCAGAATGTCTGCAACTAGGGACAGTTAAAAACTGTGATTTTTGTCGAATTCATAAACCTGATAAGACCATGCACAACTCCCAGGCACTGCTGCTGGCCCTCCACTCCCAGCAGGTCTGGGAATTCCCTTGCTGCAATGCCAGCCCAGAAGAGGTGGTTATTTGGCTGGATCAGAAGCATCTGCAGGGCCCTGGGAAATGCACACACAACACGAACAGGAGGAGACAAGCACGGGGGGATCTGAGGGTGGTGGTGATGCATTGCAGGCGTGATTGCAAACCACCCTTGCAGCCCTGCAAGCAAGGTGAATGCTCCTAAAGCAGGACCTGGGCAAGGACTGCTGAGAGCAGGGCAAGGTGGGAGGGGAAGAAAGGGAAGGAGCCACTTTATGCCTGTCCCAATAACCCCAGGTTCCCCAATTATTAAGCAGAGGCAACGTCTTTGACAGCACGTGAGGAAACAAAACGCAATGTCTGTGACACCCTCCAACATTTTCATCTGGGAAGATGGATTTCCTCAGCGGCTCTGGCATATGCAGACACCACAGAGTACTCACATACTAACACTGAGAGTTTTCCTCCTAAGTCAGTCCAATGCAACAGCTTATACATAAAAACTAAGAAGAGAAAAATCAGTTCCCTTCTCAGCCTATTGGCTTTGATAACTGTTTTATGTTGCTACTGTAAATTCACCAAGGCCCCACTAAATCCTGAAGGTAGATGATGTCTGAGTTGGCAAAATGCAAAGGGAAAGTGAGGGCAAACAGGAGAAGCAGAGAGGTATTTGGAGACATTCAGGGCTTTCTTCTAGTTCCTGAAGGGAAAGCTTGTGTTCTCAAGAGTAGTTTTAACCCTTCAGATGACCTGAAATCATCTCTCTTTCCTTCCACCTGGTGCAAAAGATCAGGTTAGGATGGCCATTAGCAACTCAGTAGTTACCAGTGCAGAGCAAAGATGAGCGAGACAAGGAGCGCAGAGGTCAGATCTGTCAGGATCCACATGATGTTGTACTGCTGCGGAGTCTGGAAGAGAACAAAAGAGGACGTGTCAATCACCAAGGACTGCAAGATATGCAAAGAAGTTGCTCAAGCTCTTTCTTGCTGCTCAAATATGGCCATTCAGCTGCGTGGTTTGCATGTGTAGTAACATCCCTCAGGTAGCATTTCGAAGTGGCCACTCACCACAGGGTGTTGGTGGCAAATCATCATCCTATCTGGTTTATGGCCAAGAAGTTTGTACTACATCACGGTAAATGCATCAGGGACTTGTTTGTACAGATGGGCCCTGTATTTCTCTCCGCTCCCCTCCAACATTAACATCAACTGGTGGCATCTCATTTTCTCTGGAAAAATTGTCCTTTATTGAGGACCACAGAGAGTCTGATGTGGCTCCTGCTCTAAGAGCATCTGGAGATTCATCCTCAGACTGGATTTCCACCCATCCTCAGAATAGACTAAAACACTACAGTTGTCCTGCTGCAAGAGTGTGAAGCCAGTTATTCAAAGTAGTAACCTTTGATGTCTATGGTTGTCCAAGGGAGAATAGGGAATAGACAAATTATGGGGGAAAAAAAAATCCCTCTCAGCAGGGAAGGGTTATTTCTACGGTTGTTTGCCTTAGGCTTGTAGAACAAGACCAAGTTTGAGAAAGGCAGCAGGAAGCCCTGGGAAGTAAGGAACTTTTGACATCAGTAAGGTGCTTCAAAAGCTTAGAAATTGAAACCCTCGTGCATCAGATTATGCCCCCAAAGGCCCTTCTTTTCTCCCCACATAACCATAGAATCACAGAACACTTTGGGTTAGAAAGGACCTTAAAGACCATCTAGTTCCAAACCCCCTGCCATGGGCAGGAACACCTTCCATTAGACCAGGTTGCTCCAAGCCTCATCCAGCCTCACCTTGGACACTTCCAGGGATGGAGCATCCACAGCTTCTCTGGGCAACCTGTGCCAGTGTTTCATCACCCTTTCGGGGAAGAATTTCCTCCTGATACCCAATCTAAATATCCTCACTTTCAATCTAAACCCCTTACCACTTGTTCTGTCACTTGTAAAAAAGTCCCTTCCCAGCTTTCTTGTCGGCCCCTTCAGGCACTGGAAGATCCTCTACGGTCTCCCCAGAGCCACCTCTTCTCCAGGCTGAACAAGCCACAGTATGACTTCTTTTCCCTCATCTCAAGGTCTACGCTGCAAATCCTAACAAACAGGGTGCTTCTACCTGAGCCAAGAGAAAAGGGGAGAAGGGTATAGTGATACCTGAAGTGGTACAGAGGTTCCTGTTAACCCAGGTTTCAACTCAAATCCTTTTCATGCAACACATCTTTGTCTATCCATTAACTGGCCCACAGTCTCCAAAGGTAGCCATGAACATCCCAACCCTACTTCCTGCCCCTGGGAGGGGAAGGATTTTTGCTTACCATGAGGAAGAGTGGCTGGTTGAGGTTCTTCAGCATGTGGACAGCATTGGTGGTCACAGAGTGTGCCCCGGAGCACCACGCCAGCGAGAAAAGCCATGGCTCATTGACCACATAGAGGTTGGTGGTGATGTTTGCCTCAGCGTATTTCCTTTAAAAGACCAAAACGCAATAGACTTCATTAAGCAAGAAGGTTAGTACTTCCTCTGGGCTGAATCAAGGAGACACAGCAATTTTCTGTAGGAAAGGCTTGCTTTAGGACCTAGATAAGGAATAGAAAGGAAAGGCATCCATCCATTAATTAATCGTTCACAATTGGTCAAAACACAATAGCTGATCTGCTGAAAGCAAATGTGCTTAAAAACACCCGAAAGGTCAAAACTTTGTTTACCCTTCTGCCACATCAATCAATGCAATGTGTTTGTAATCTCCCAGTAGTGTGTTCAAAACCACCTCGAAGCTGGCTACACGTTTGTTATGTTTGCTGCATCAGCTAATCAGGTTTCAAGTTCTTATTGAAACATAATAGTAAGTAAGATCATATTCTGTATAATGGTCAAGAATGTGTCATCAATATTAGCATTTGTAAATCTACCTGGGATCTACCCAGGGTTTACCCAAATGGATCTACATAGGATTTTTCATCCTGTGAAAATGATAATTGAGAAAACGTGAATATTACTCTCATCCAAAGGATTAAACTTTTACTTTTCTTCTTCTTTTTTTTTTTTTTTAATTAGATCTCAATGTTTTTGTGCATGGAAAAGATTTAAAAGTCCTATTTACAAAAGAAGAACTGGGCAGGTAAGATGGGTTTTGTTGTTGTTAATTTTTTTTTCTCCTCCACATAATACAACCATTTTGGAAACTCCTACAATGAATGTGGAGCCTTCCACTGGAGAAATGACATTTTCAGTGTGCCACAAACAACAAAGTACTGGTAGCAATAGAGACAAGACATGCAGTCTTCAAAACACCAGCTACAAGAGGGTCATGGTCTCTCACCACAGCATTATGCATGCACACTGACATCTGTGGAAGAGAGGTTAAATAGGTGTTCATTCTCCATGACTCAGTGTTGGTGGGATTGGGGACAAGAAATCAGGAGACAGCTGTATTGTCTACCCAGAAGATCCTCAGATCCTGGTCAGGTAAATATGGACTTGGGGGCAGGGGTGTGTAATTACATATGCCACCTCTTGGCCACACACAGGGTCAACAACAGGAGTAAACTACAGTCCTCCACTCCCAAAATGCAACAGAGATGGCCCTTGGTCTAAAGGACCCTTTCCCAAAAATGTTTTAGATCCTGGAGCTGGTCACTGGAGGGAGACATTGCCACACACATGAGGCAAACACAGAACAGATGTGGTCCACTGGCTGTACTGCAACCCACCGGATATCTTCACTAGACATTTCGGTGTAGGCCAGATTGAGTTTGACGATATTGTCCATCAACAGGTCTTCAACTGGGGCTTTACTGCCCATTGTCTGCTGAAACCCAGGAGCAACGGACTGAACAAAGGACCTCATGTCGTTCTCCAGCCACAGGACCTGCAGGCAACAAGAGGACCCAGTGAATTCACCACAGACTTACTCATAGGCCCTGCCCTTCACACAAACCCAGTAAAAATAAGGTCTTGAGGAGCTTAACCCTGCCAGTCAAATGACATCATTCTTACCGTGATCAAAGAGCATTTGGAGGCAGGGCTAAAACTTGCAAGTCACTTTCATCTAGAAATAAGTATTCACTGTTCCTTGCTTATCAACTTGAAATCAGTGAGTACGTTTCACACAGCCCAACAAAAGACAGGGCATTTGAAATGGATGAAAACACAGTTTTGGTTTATGGGAATGGCAACAGAAAACACTCTGTTCTCCTATTCTCAAAGCATGGGAGAGCAGAACTTCAGCAGATACAAATCAGTGAAACTCCCTGGACATCAATGGATACATAACCTGCTCCAAATGGATTTAGCATCCATCCCAAGCAGAGAGTTGCCTGGGGAAGGAGGAAGGTAATGAAGGCTCCCAGCTTCGTGTGCTTCAATTAAGCCGGGAGTTTCTATGCAATAAGTAAGATAAAATTGGGTGGCAGGGAGTAGGCTGCCAATTATTACAATGATGGAAGGATGACATTTAGGGGCTAAAGCATCAGCTGGTATATACATGGGCTTATTTCTCTGTCCTGGTACAGAGTTACACCATTTAGTACCTTCTGAGGAACCAATAGTAAGAATATACTCCAAATGATGACTCTTAAAAAAAGTGAAATGAATGGTGCCAGACTTAATGCAGGTGAAATCATGCAGGGTATGCCCCAAAGCCCCAATTCAGAGAGCAAGAAAAAAGGATACAGAGGAGTGAGGCCACCCTACCAGATGGGGTCTAATCCCCGACTCGTTGAGGATGACTTCCAGGGTTCTGTTGATCCATGAGTTCCTGTAAGGATGTTTTTCTGGAGGGCGGTAGAGATCAAATATCACAAGTTTATTCTGACTGTCTGCGAGGCGCAAGAAATTACTTAGCTTGTAAATTGACTGATTCATTGCCTGGTTTTGATCTGCCCTTGACAGTGAGCCCATGCATGAAAATGGTTTGTCCTAGAAATAAACAGATATAAAAAAGGAAATCAATCAGGCAGTCGCCTCTGGGAGTCAGATGCATACAAAAAATTCATATTTCTAAGAGGGAAAAAGTTTTACCTCAGCCCCCAGTAGGTGAGGATGTTTCATTTTGCTTAGCTCATCTGCCTGAGAAACAGAGGAACTTAACCCAGGCTGTGATGGCACGGCTTCTGGTGCCTAAAGTGCATAGTTCACAGCAAGCTCTGCTCTGCTCCTCTGTCCCACTGTTAGCTATGACTGTTACACAGGACCCTGCACAAGTAGCTGTTGTCTTCTTCCCCCAGCCTACGTGTTCTGCTGGTTCCACGATAAGGAGCCACAACAACACCCACCAGCCAATAGGTCTCCAAAGCCTAAAGGCCAAATGGGCAAAACAAGGTCATCCCAGCTGAAGGATTTATACTTACTTCTTTAAGTTTTGGCTCAACCAGTAGTTCCTTTCCTAACATTCATGTTATTATGTATCATAGAATCATGGAATGGTTTGGGTCAGAAAGGACCTTAAAGACCATCCAGTCCCACTCCCTGCCATGGGCAGGGACACCTTCCACTAGACCAGGTTGCTCCAAGCCTCATGCAGCCTGGCCTTGAAGACATCCAGGGATGGGGCATCCACAGCTTCTCTGGACAAGCAGTAGCCAGCTGGTGTCTCTTCTACACCCAGTTGATGGTAGTCCTATATGGCGCTTACCTTAAGGAACCATGTTCCAGCATTCAACTCCTTCAGGGTATCCCAGGAGAACAACGCAGCGTTCTGAGCAGTGTCATTGGGGTAGACCTCCTTGATGTTAGTTGTCCTCCTCAAGGTGCTGTCATGCATGAGGAAAGGAACTCCATCATAGCTGTTGGAGAGCAAGAGTTCAGATCACCTGAGGTGCGGGTTCACTCATGGCATGAGCAGGCACGTCAGGTCAGAAGAATATGTGGGCCACCATGAAGGCAGCGGTACAACCTCCGTCAGGGCAGAGGGTGGGAAAGGGACGAATTCCGAGGCTCAAGACACCAGGTTATTTAGAGCTTAAATACTGCTGGGTGACCTTGGAAAAGTCATGCCTGTCTGTGCCTCAGTCTCCTCAGGGGCAAAGTGGAGATGGTGACATTTATGCCTGCCAGCCCCCAAAAGAATGGATAGCAACTTATGGCTGAAATCTCTCTTTGCTGGCACCAACGTGTTTCTATGGGTTTCAGAGGACTGAAATCTGAATGGTCAGTGATGGAAAGGCAAAATTTTCTATTACAGAAAGTTCTACATTAGCAGAACATCTAAGCATTTGTATTTTTCTCATTCAGTGCTTGCAAACTGCCCATCCTGCACAGCATGTTAGAAATTCATGGCAATGGGTCCCCCAAACAAAGGCAATTAAAGATCTAATAATTAGAGCAATGCTGTCACAAGTCTGAACACAATTCTGTGTTGGTTTGTAGGCTTGATACAATCCTCGCTGTGGTCTGGAAGTCAGACTAGGACTTGTCTTTATACTCTGCAAAGCATTTAAAATATACTGTAGAAATAATGATTGTTAAATCAATATCTACAGCTCATTGACTTGCCTGAGAACAACCATGCCCTACAGCCCCTGTCATCACACGCCAACTGAGGGACCCTGACCCAGCCACCAGTAAAAACTAGTTGCATGTTTTCAAAGGCAACTCTAAGAAGAAGCAGCGTATATTCTGAGAGACGTGACATTTTCCCCTTACCTAATGGTGACATCTGTTTCAAGACCATCCCCACCATGTTCAATTGTCTTCTGAAATGACATCTCGGTGTTTTCTGGTGCTAGCTAAAAGAAAAAAAATAAAGCACGTGAGCAGATAGTTTTCAAATCTGATTTTTATTAAGAGACATTCACGACCTTGTTAAAGCCTACTCTTTGTTTTCTTACATTTTAGCCACCAAACCCATCTTGTCCTTCAAGCAAACCCATGCAGCGATGCCTTTGGCATGCAGTTCCAAATGGAAATGTCTCCCATTTCACCCTCCACAGATTCCATAGGGGGGAAAAAAAAAAAAATAGAGGCACAGAATGAAGAAATGGTATAAAATAACTTCTCCAGACGTACCATTGGTGCTCCACGATGTCCAATGAGAGCTGGCTTTGGTCCAAGTGTTCCCACCTCTCTGATGCAAGGAGAGTACATCCCCAGAGGTATCAAGAAAAGAAAGAGAAGGATAGCCAGGTATGGACCAACAATTACCACCTGAACAACTGGAAGAATTTGAAGGAGGAAGGCTAGAGTTAATCCATGTGGTAACTGTACAGGTTTGCCTTACAGCTTGACATTTGTTACAGCCCTCCAGCTAAGTAGCTGTTGAGCTTTGTCCCATCCCTTTTTCCACCCCTTCTTCGTCTAATTTTCTCTTTCTCTCCAAACAATGCAACACAGGAAAACAAACTGGTCAAAGCAAGGACATGGGCTAAGTTTTGTGCAGGTTTTGTGGTTTAATTACATCTCCCTATATCTTACAGCAAGACGTGGCCTTAATTTCTTTTTCTTTAGAGGTGGTGCAATGAAATATCCCCCATCTGTAGAAAACCAATCCTCAGCAGAAGGATAGTAACTTTTCTCTTACTCAGACAAGAACAAGCAACATTTTGAAGTTTCATTCACAGTGAAGAAGAGAAGGGACCTTTCTCCTTCAACTATGTTACATTTCCTTAAGGTGAGTATTTCCCTGGTTCATCTGGACTGTCAGTGACCTCCTGTGTGTGACCTGCAGAACCCTACAAGCTCTGACTGCACAGGTATTGCCTCTCAGAAACTTGCCCACTCCTTAGCTACAACCTTTGGAGTTGACACATGGCCCAGGAGCCCCAGTGAGCCTTCACCTCCGGAACAAGACAGTTCCTCTGAGAAATGAGCACCTATGCACCAACTTCTCTTTCTTGAAGGGCCACAACCCCTCTGCATGTTGTGCTGGTGGCTCTGACAGAACTTGGGCTTACACCAAGCTGACGGAATGAGCTGAGACTCCATTAGGCATGGTGGACTTAATGTCTCAGGTCCCAGAATATTCCTCCCCAGCCTCCCCAGTTGTAGTTCAAGAATAATGCTGGGCAGGAGAAAAAGTGCTTTCACCAGCCCATTCTGTCTTTGATTTTTATGACAAAAGGTTTGCAAAGGGTTGTCATGTAAATAATTCTGGCTATATGGAGAGACTAGGTCAGAGAACAACAGCCAGTCCCAGATCCAGCCAATTCTGCAGTTGTTCCTGACACTTGGCCTTGTGCTTGGTCACTTTTAGAGGTAGATGGAACTTGCCATGGGATAACACTAGGAAGTGATCATAAAGCTCTTTCCCCTGTCTCAGCTGGCTTCTCCCGAGATGCACTAGTCTGAAATGAATTGACTGGACTGGAGATCTCTTCTGAGACAGCGAAGCTGAGTATTGCAAGCAAAGGTCAGTCAAGAGAGCTGCTTGGCAAAGGCCAACACTGTGCAAGGGACTGTGCAGACCAGGAACGCATCTGGACAGCCACAGGACAACAGCCCCAGCCTCCCTCATTTCCCTGGGATGCACAGAGGCTAAAAGTCACCTCCAGCTGAAGTGAAGGTGTGGGAGGAAAGGCTCCTGCACACCTGTTTTCCCACACTGATATACACCTTTTGTCATATAAGGAGCAGGAAGCAGGGCTACTGTACCTTTCTTATCTGCTCTGATGGCATGAAGAGCCACAGGCCAGGACAGCAGGACCATGATGGTTATTGCCCCTATGTGGAGATAGGGAGCTGTGATCTGGCAAGGGGAGAAAAGGATTTTTGTCAAAGGATGAAGTGTGGAGACAGATGGAAACTAATCCCACCATGGGTACAGCCTTCCACCTGAATGGGCTCCTGTTGCAGAGACCAGCAGTTCAACCACTCCCCCTCAGCTGTGCTGAACCCACCAAATACTTCTGACATCAGGGCAGAGATATGTGACCAGCCAGGCCACCTCCTTGGGCTGAGGAGTGCTTCTCACTGCACTACACAGCCCTCCTTTCTCCTAAGTCAGCCCAAAGGGACACGCTTTCCTTGTCCATGAGGATGCAATCACTGTTACTGCTGTGCCGTAAGTCATGAGCATCTTCCGGACAGCAGACAGCTTAATACAATCCAATCCCACTCAGGTAATAGTCGTCTCCATACCACACTGCATCTAGATCATTAAACTGATGTCAACAAGCCTGAGTGATAAGGCGTGGTATTTACACCTGTGGGGAATTAACTATTGTGATATAAGAGAAGTAGTAAATCTCATACATGTCTGACCATGGAAATTATTAGACTCCTAAACACCCTGCAGCACCTAGTTTCATCTATTGCAAATATATTCCAGAAAATTATTCATTTTAATTTATTTCAAACCATTTAATTTCTTGTATTAGGGCTAATTATAT